TCTTCCATTCATCACGCATTGCAGCGTCGAGTCTCTCCACTTCTTCTTGTGAGAGGGGGGGACTGGCCTCAAGAAGAGTACTGCACGGTATCGTTCGGGGGTCGGCGCCAGGGGGGGCACTTAGTTAAATGAACTATAGCACGCCACCTCGAGCCAAACTTGGTCTTACACACCGGGCACAGGGCGTCTTCGCCCACATATCTTCTCGCTAAACATCGCACGTTATGCTTCCTCATCTTGTGGGAAAGCAAGGCTTGAGGCGTGGCGAAGGTCGGGGGAGAGGCGACACACGCACGCACACACTCATCACACACGTGGGGGCGAGCGGGGTTGGCGGCAGCTTGGCGCCAAACACTTGCCTCTGGGTGGTTGCTGGTGGCCGAGTCGGCCACAGAATCACAATAAAATATGTTCTGGACCAGCTGGCTCCACAAGGATCCAGCTTCTCGGATAAACTTGCCCCAAGTCTGGGGACACTCCAACGGGACAGGGAGGAAAAACTTCGAGTTTCGAATAACTCTCTCATGCAGCATCTCTAGATCAGCGGTGATGAGCTTCGTCCACGGGAGCCGCTCACCCTTCACCTGTACATGCAGAAGGGCATGCAACTCCACAGGGCCATGGACCAGGACACGCCTCAAATACACAAGCCTGGCACGCTGCAGTATACAATCGACTGACGTCATGCTCATACGATGTCTGACTTCGACATCGTTGTGCTCGACTCTCTGAAATCGAGACTCGCCGAAAAAAATCTCCGAGGACGCATCATCGTGGCGTTCAGAGTTCTGATATACTGACGGCTCGGTACAATAACGTGTGCGTTAAAAAACAGCCTCGTGCACAACAACGAATTCATCATATGAATCTTTACGCAATCGTGAATCACTGGCGAGCCGAAGATGCGTGAAGCGAGCGGGGAGTACACAGCAAGAGTGGACTTCTCTTTATGCCTGGCGTCTACCGTACACGCAGCCCGAAGGGACAGCATCGATCCAAGGTGCTTACACCTGTCTACGGCCAGGAGTCGCCTCTCACTCCCTGGCACGGGGAACGATAGTTCACCCTCAAACAAGTGGGATCCCAAAACATGTTGACACTTTTGACCTCGAAACTGGACCAGGGCTTCTGTTTTGCCTCGGGACCAATTGATTTCGAGATTGGGAGAGGGGAAGGTTTCAACCAGAACGCTCAAAAGCTTCGGAATACTCTCACTCAATCTCTGGGCGGTGCTGCAAACTAGCATGATACACTCATCATCCACAAAGGCGCAGTCAATGATGCTGCACACGTGGTCACACACCCCAAGGCGATCAGACCAAAACTCCTGGGTCGGGGCCTCAAGATTCAAAGCCAGGCCTTCTCTCAAACGTGCTTGCATAGCGTGCAACGCAATAGAGTAGACAGCATTAAATATCATGGCTCCTACCTCACACCCCTGCCCCCCCCCCCCCCCCCCGCGCAAACCGTGGACAAACAACACTCTCAAGCGAAACGGTGCTAAACCACGAGCTCGAGCGCGGAGAACACAAATGTTCAGCGACATTGGGATCTATTTGCCACTGCTCCAGGAGGGGGCATTTTTTCTTCGATCTGCTTCAGTATCTGCTGGACAACTGTACTATTCAGAACTAGCGATTCGAGATATGCAAGGCGGGCGGCGTGCTCAGGTGCGATATGCGCAGGGAATCCAAACGCCAACTCTCTCACAACTCTGTCGAACGCTTTGACTAAGTCGACGAACAGAATACATACTGACCGCCCTCTCTTCTCGGCATAAGCTATCATGCTCTGTACTATGTGCGTGGCGTAGTCGGTCCCACGCCTAGGAAGGGCGCCAAATTGCGTCGTCGGCATCTTCTCGTTATATACAGGATCGATGCTTCTTTTCATACGACCTACGAACGACTTGCCCGAGTGGTTTGCCAGCAGGATACCGCGATAACCATTCCGTTCTTGATTATCGCCTTTCCCTTTAAACAAGGATGCCACTTCTCCGCCCGTCCATTGTCGCGGCCAACTCACGGCATTCACGATAGTGTTCTCGACCCCATTCAAGTGGAGCGCCAGGGGGCACTCACCAGCCTGAAGGAGTTCTGCGGGGACCCCGTCACATCCTACGCCCGTGTTATTCGCGAGCTTCTGGATTGCCTCGTTGGTGGCCTCGGGGGACATGGTGAGTGCCAGGGGATCTGGGGGCCTGCCAGTACACGGGATACCTATCTCGCTTAAGTTCTTGACCCCTGCCTGAAATACTCTATTGTAGTGCTGTGGCCAAGCTAGATCGCGATCAGCCGAGGAGGCAGATAGAACACCCGAATACAACTTAACGTCGGTGTTTCCACGAACTCCTCCTCTCGACAACATGTGAACAATCTTAAAGGTACCAGCAAACTTCCCATTGAGGGCCTGCCTGTCCAGCTCAGATGCGCGCTCTTCTAACATGATGTTCCGATCTATGTCGCACAGGGGCTTGGTCAGGCCCTTCAATATACGTTGACTGTGTACAGCACATGCAATACACCCTCTCATGATACGCATGTTCATGTGCATATGCTCGTATTATGCTACAGCCTTCCATCCGTGTCTACATGATGATGCACATGGGTATGGAGCATGCTTCTGAGCCAGCAGAACTTGAAAGACAAAATGCAATCGAAGGCGGCGCTGCTGCTGAAAAAGCTCGTGCACGCGCCGTCGGAGTGGGGCGTTCCACTTCAGCACTGTCCACGTCCGATTCGAAAACCACGGCTTAGTGGGAGTATCTCTCTTGCTGCCAAAGGCCTCATCGGCCGCTTGCCGAACATACTCGCTGAAATGTTCAAGTTTTTCGGTCGGATCCTTGCCAGACATCTGATACTCTCACATCTTCTTCTGAAACGCATCTCGGCAGCTCGGATCACCCAACTGCCGATGATCAAGACGGGCTGGGAAAATGTGAGATGCTCTCTCCACGACGGCAGTGTTCACTTCCTGATTAGGCACTGCACGCACAACGCAATCGGCAACAACAACTCTGTGATCCACAGTCTGCTCGAGAGTCAAATCTAAATCATCTGAAACCCAAACACTCCGTTCAGGTACATACTCGCTCTTCAAGATGCACACGTAGTCCAGCCGAGACGGCTTGCCTCGGGGTGGTCTCCACGTCCACTCACCTGCTTGAAAGGTATTGACAGCGACCATGTGCTGCGCCTCCAGCGCAGATCGCATGAGAGCACCATTGGCGTTCTCTCGGGTAGAACCTTCTCGTCCAAAGGCACTCGACTGCACAGAGCCAACAGCCAACCCGTGCGTTCGCATCCATGGTTAGGACCGCAAATGACGCAGGATATCTTTGCCTCCACTTGGTGATCGTGTCACTTAGCAGAGACCAGAAACTCTGACGATGCTCAGGGGAGTCATGAGAACGAGGTGCGTGTGCAGCGACCGCTAGAAGAGGAACTCGTTCCCTGCCCTCATCTGCTGCGATCGTGCCCGCCGCTATCACGATCCGTGAGCGCGGGGCTGCCCAGGCCTCCATGCGAAACTCGACGTCGTAGCTCACCCACAACTGAGTCCCGTAGCAGCCCTTCGCGCCCGCCGCCGCACAGAACATGGTGTAGAAGGTGCCTGCTCTAACTTGTTCCGACCGACGTCGTCCCTCTTGAATGCCGATCAGCTGAATTCCTGCATGTGAGAATTGGGCCTCAAGTAAGGCCACCTTCGACATCAAGGTAGCCCCCACCACCTTGGAGTAACTAGCTAGTTCCTGCTTGGGGCACAGCGTGCGCACATTGCCCGTGGCGCACAGCACTCTAGTGGAGGCCGAGCCCTATATGCCGTCACGGCTGGGGGGCCTGCATCCTGAAAAATTGGTACGGCCTCGGCGGCCACTGCGGTGCCTGACGCCGTCGGGGTCTGCTTCCCCCTCATGCGACGCTTCACCATCTGGTCGTCTGGCTCCATGTCCTCGTCGACCGAGTTCTTCTTCACCGGCGTGAGCTGGGCGTTGGCCTCCGTCGCGATCCTCTGCAGGCCCGCAAGAAGGCGCATGATCTCCGTCTTCGCCTCCTTCAGCGTCGTCTGTGGGATCACCGCAGAGGACTTCATGTCGGCGATGACCCTCGACAGGCTCTGGGTCGACGCCTCGAGGGAGTTCGGGGCATTGACCTGCAGCGCCTAGGCTTCGAGCTCCTGCAGCTCGATCTTCCGCTGGTCCGACTCCGCCATGGCCTGGTTCACCTCGTCCTGCGCCTTGGCCAACGCACTCTGGCTGTCGGCGAGGCGCTTGTCGGCCCGTTCCACGGCCGACCTGCACGAGACGAGCTGGCTGCCCAGCGGCTTCGAGAGGGTAACATTCTTCTTGGCCTCCTGGACCTGCTTCGTGAGGATCTCTCGCGTAGGCTGGAACTCGTCGCCAGGCGGCACCGCGGCCATCGCGTTCTCGAGGCTCTTGATCTTGACATTGTGGTCGATCTGCGGGGTAGTCGCCGCAGTGTATGACGTAGTCGGGCCAACAGCAGAGTCCAAGGCCGTGGTGCGCTGGGCACACGGCGGCACCGTCTCCGCCTTGTCGGACTGCACAATTTGGGCCCAACTCTTCTTGAGACCACAACCTTTGCACTTCTTGGCTGCCACCTGATTCCACGCATGGCATCCACTCGTACGACACTGCCACCACTGCTCCTCTTGCCACCACTGCTTCTTGGCAGAAGCGGGCTGGGCGGGCGGCTCCTGCCACCACGCGCACGCCATCTGATCAGATGCGGGTGAGCAGGAGACTGAGGGGCAGTGCGAGACGTAGGCTTACGTTCTGACTCAATGACCCATCTTGAGCCAAAATGGATACGGACCCTCCTCCTCCTCCTCCTCCTCCTCCTCCTCCTCCTCCTCCCCCTCCTCCTCCTCCTCCTCCTCCTCCTCCTCCTCCTCCTCCTCCTCCTCCTCCTCCTCCTCCTCCTCCTCCTCCTCCTCCTCCTCCTCCTCCTCCTCCTCCTCCTCCTCCCCCTCGGTGTGTGGCGGCGAGTGCGGCTGCGGCGGCGCTGGCACTGACGGCGCCTGGCGGCGCTGCCGCCGCGGCCGTGCCAGAGCGTCCCAGCGGCGGCGACGCCGGCGGCCGGGCGGGCGGCAACGGTCAGGGGCCCCCAGGACGGTGTGGTGGCCACAGCGCGTGGCGAGTCAGTGTGGGTTCCTCCTCTTCCTCCTCCTCCTCCTCCTCCTCCTCCTCCTCCTCCTCCTCCTCCTCTCCTCCTCCTCCTCCTCCTCCTCCTCCTCCTCCTCCTCCTCCTTCTCCATTCCTTTTCCTTATAAATAACTTCTCCCTGTCCCTGGGATCAGCGCACGGTTTCCTGGGGGGGTCCGAACGCTGTCGTCGGTTCCCGGAGGTGTTCTTTCGTCGGGAGGCGTCCCAGCGGGCGCGCCTCGCCGAGAGCGTCCTGGGGGTGCCAGCCAGGGTCGTCCCGATTGGCCGCCAGAGACTCGAGGTACGGCCAGGACATGAAGCAGTCGGAGGAGGGCCCGGGGTCCGGGGTCACCGCACGGTCGGGTCGTTCTCCGAGGACGTCTCGGGCGACTGGCCTCCAGGAACCCAAAACTGTGCGGTGACGGACTGCGCGGTCAGATCGTTAGGGATTCCGAGATGGCGACGCGGTCCGTCACCCCACGGTTTCGAGGCCCCGGAAACGGAGGGTGAGATGAGGCGGGGGGGGGAAGGGCGCACCAATCTTGGTAAGGCTTCGGGTTGCGCGCAGACAGCTCCCCCAGGTAGCCCTGGGGCGCCGCGCGCCCCAGGGGCGCCGCCAGAGAGGGCGCCAGGGTGTTGAGAGCACCCGCCTGGGGCCGCGGCAGTAGGTCAGGGGCCCGTCGGGGCCCCATCTTCGAGGCCGCTTGCCTGCAGCCCCTCGATCGCCCCCCGCTCACTGACGCCCCCCAAACCCCGTCTGGCATCCGCCCGAGGCGTCCTCGATGCGCTGCTGCCCCCGCCGCTCCGCCTGGAGGAGCTCGAGGACGCCGACTGCCTCGAGGAGCCCGGCTCCGAGGCGCTGCTGCAGCTGATGTCCGAGTTCTGCCGGGTGCTGGAGGAGCGGGGGCGGTAAAGAGGGGGCTGATGGCCAGGGGGTGCAGTTCTCACGGCCGGGGCCACGACACAATGTCTGCCCAGACTTCAGGATGGCCCCCTCTGCTTGTCTAACTGAGAACATCCCTTGCCTCCCCACATGGGCCGCGCATGCGCCTTTGGCCATGGTTTGCGAGCCCCCCTCCCGGACGCCCCCGAGAGGACGCGATGCCCGCGCTCGCCGCGAGCAGCGGCGTGGCGGGCGCCGCCGCCGCGGGCGGGCGGCGCGAGGGCGCCTGGCGGGAGGTGAAGGCCTGGGCCGACGGGGCCGCGCCGCTGCTGCTGCAGCTGTCCGGCAAGGCTCGGAGAAGAAGATCCGGGCGGGGTTGAGACAGGGACAGATCGTTCCAGGGTTAACTCGGGCCTGTCCCCCTACAGGGGGATTTTCGACGAAGAATAAAAAATACCCCGAACATACCCCAAAAGGTCAAAAAATATTCAAAAATAGTCCCAAAACTATGTTTGGAGTATTTTTGGGGGGGGGGGGATTTTTCGTCGAAAATCCCCCTGTAGGGGGACAGGCCCGACTTAAGGACAGATCGTTCCAGGGCGTTCTGGGACGCCCTCACGCTCTGAGAAGGCCGCGGTGCCCGATGCGTCAGCTCTCAGAGATTCTTTATGCATGCCTGTCCGATGCTGTCCCTGTCATGGCCTCGTCTTCAAAATCTTAGCGGACGAAATCTTAGCGAACGAAGAGCGGTAAAAAGTATGGCGTTTCCGGCGTCGGGGACGCCTGCCTCAGGGCGGCTGGAAAGTTTGTACCCCGACGCGCCACCGCGGGGATATACATTTTCCAGCCGCCCTGGGGCAGGCGTCATATAAATTTTCCAGTCCCCGATGGTGGAAAAGTATACGTTATGTCGATCGTCGTCCGCTAGTCATCGGCATAAACACAAACTGTCGGAGGTGTGCGCCGACTTCGTGGCCCGGCCCTGGACCTCCCTGGCGGCGCCTACGGCACCGCCCCCAGCGCGCTCCGTGCGCCGGGTAGGTGGACCACTGCGCCGACCCAAGAAATCCGCGCAGACCTAACGCTTATTGTTGTGCCGATGCGTCTTGCTCTGAAGGTGTTCGCGAAGCCCTACTGCGAGCCCGGGAAGGTGGCCGGCGCCGCGGTCACTTGCTTGCTCTTCCTGCTCGAGCGGCCGTGGGAGCAGGAGCCAGCGGAGCGGAGCTTGGAGTGCGCCAGGGAGGCTCGAGGAGTAGAAGAGCAGGAGCATCAGATTTCGGAGGTCCACGCGGATTCTTTGGATCTCGCTGGACCCCACTTCTTTGTCGCGCGGTGCGCGCCAGGGGCGGTGCCAGAGGCGCCGCCAGGGGTGGCCAGCGCAGGTGCAAGAAATCCATGCGGAATTGTGACAGTCTGTGCTTATATGCCGTCTGCTCTTCGTCTTGAGGTGCAGGCCATGCTGGAGGCCACCGCGCCCACTGAGGGTGGCATGTTCGACACGCGGCTGCACACTTTCTTGCGCAGCCCGTGGCCGGCCTTCCGTTTGCTGGACCTGCTTGTCAGGTTGTTCCCTTCGGACCCCGAGTCGGCCGAGGCCGAGCTCGGAGCCTGCAGGCCGAACGTGGACATCTATGGAGAGCGGTCCGAGTTGGACTGGCCTTGGTTCCGAGAGTCTCTCGTCTCCGGTTTGGACTCCGTGATGGCGGACCCGCGCCATTTGGCGCTCGACCCGGCAGAAGGCCCACTGTCCGAGCAGTACCGCATGCGATGGGCCCGCATGTATGAATCGGCTTCCTTCAGAGATGCCGCTGCTTTTTCGTTCAACGCATTTTACACGTATCGCAGACAGCAGTGGGAGTGTGGCTGCAGTCCTGGTATCGCCGCGGCATACATAATGCAGGTGGTGAGCTTCTCATTCAGAGACCGGGAGGCCTGGCTTCAGCGATACGTCAGCGCCACGTGGAGGCTGGTGGTGCTGCTGACGCCGCTGCCGAGCCTGCTCCTGTCAGACTGGCCTGTCTTCCGCGCCCTGCACCTGGCGAGCCTCTTGGCGCGGCGCGGGGCATCGCAGTGGATCCTCGGCGACGAGCCGCAGGCGGGCCGCCTGCCCGCCGAACAGCTGCAGGGCGCCGTGCGGAGCGCGCTCGGGAGCCTGGCCTCCTCCGCGGGCCGGCTGCCCCGCGCGGTGTACGTGACCGCCGCATGGGGCGCGCACGCCGCCTCCGCGGAGCTCGTCGTTGGTCGTCCTGGTCGTCCTCGTCCTCGTCGTCGTCCTCCTCGTCGTCGTCGGCGGCGTCGTCGTTGTCCTCTTCATTGTCCTCCTCCTCCTCCTCCTCCTCCTCCTCCTCCTCCTCCTCCTCCTCCTCCTCGTCGTCGTCGTCGTCGTCGTCGGCTGCGCCGCCGTCGCTGCCGCCGACGGCGGCGGCGGCATCATCCATCCAGCGTGCGGAGCGCGGGCGCACGGGCTGCTTACGGTAGGTTCGCGTCGCGTCGACCGGCGACCCAGAGTCCGACGATGTTGAACGATCTGACGTTTTGGAAATTTAGTTGCTTCGATACGCCCGCTTTGAAACGCAACACGGATCGTGCTTAAAACGTCCGTGTCAATAGGTTGCGTGGGTTGCGTGTGGGCTCAGCGTGTTGTCCCACGTTTTGACGAAGGTATCGCGCCAGACCTACGTGTTCAGTCTACGTGTTGAGCTCCGTGTCGATGCGCTGCGTGCTGCGTGCTGCGTGTCGGGGCAGCTAAGTTCGGAAACGGCCGATCGTGCCTGGTGGAAGGATCCCCGCGGTGTCGGGAACCAAGGCCAGGGTCGACACGGCACGAGCCCGCGATGAGCACAAACTGCCGGGGGTCCGCGCGGAGTTCTTGGCTTTGCGCTGGGCCGCCCTGGCGGCGCCGCCCCTGGCGCGCTCCGCACGCCAGGGAGCGGGGGGCCCAGCGGAGATCGAGGAGATCCGCGCGGACCGTCGAAGGTCCACACTCGTGCCGCTCCCTCCCCCAGGAGCGCTTCTTGGCGAGGTGGGCGGCCGTGCCTCTGCCTGCCCTCGTCTTCCTCGCCCTGGACGCACGGGCGGCGGAGGCCTGCTCGCAGCAGCGGCGCCACCGCGAGGCGAGCATGATCCGGTGCATCGAGGTCCCGGCCCGCTTCGGCGTGGAGCCGTGCGTCGCGAAGTACGTCGCCCTGGCCGTGGCAGCGCAGAGCGGCTCTCTTGCTGCGTGGCTCGACTTGGACGTCTATCTCCCAGCTGACCCGACGGCCCGGTTGGAGCAGACGATGATTCTCGCCGACATGCCTCCAGTGGCGCTCGCTGGGTTCCTAGGCTCGCGGTCCTTAAGCCCAGGGATAGTCGTGGCGAACGGAGCGGAGGGAGCGGCAGTTGTGCTGCGGTACGCATCTTGGTTGTACGAGCATCCCTACATTCTGGATCATCAAGGATGGGACTTGTTCCTCCAGAATGGCGACGGGGACTTCTCTGGCAGCGTGGACTACAAGGGCCGCAACATCACCTCTGCCCCGAATGACGGCCTGCACCTCTCCTTCAAACTTGCACGGCCGACCACTGAAGTGGCACCCAGGTACGCAGTGTTGGGCCGCGAGTTCGCCAGCGGGGACGGTTGGCGAGGCTCGATCGAGCGCTTGGCTGCGTTCCACTTCTGGGGTGCCGTGGAGACCCAGGCCGAGCTCTTCAGCACCTTCTACCCTTTCGCCGGCATCGGCTTCTCTGAGCCCGCGCGAGCAGTGCTGGTGCGCTATAATCGGGCCCCGGCATCGGGCGATGCGGCCAGCGTCGCTGCCAGGGCGAAGCCTCACGCCCACGTCACGTCGATCAGCTACGCACACGGCTGCTGCGCCAAATCTATAGCGAGGAACCGGCAGACCGCCCTGGACGTTGGCGTGGACGACGCGCGCTCGTACGGGTACGCGGACCTAGACCCCGCGTGGGCGGAGCGCAACGCGGATGTGTTGTCCGCCCCTAAGGGAGCTGGCTGGTGGCTTTGGAAGCCACACGTGATATTGCGCACTTTGCTGGATGAGGCGGTGCCTTGGCACTCTGGTGTGGTGCTCTGGCTCGACGCAGGCAACTTCTTCATTGGCGACCCCCGTCCTCTGATTTCGAGTGCATTGAGGGGCTCGGACGTCTCAGCAATGCGCCTAAAGTGTTGCGTGGAAAACGAGTGGACGACTGGTGTTGCCTTGCGGCGACTTGGTGGCATGGGCTATGTGGTCGCAGACAGGCCACAGTTGGGCGCTTATTTCATCATCCGGTAACGCAGCCGCGTATATCCGCCAACGCAGTTGAAGAAGTGGCGTGGCAACGCTTTTGCCCTGCATGGGTGTAGCGTCGCATGCTCAGTGCGTTTCCTCTTGGGGGCGTCTTCAGTGCTCTTGGGGGGTCTCGGGCGCCTCGTCGGAGGTTGGTGGGAGTATTGGGGCTGACTTGGGGTTTCGTGGGGCCGTTTAGGGTGGTCTTGTTGACGTCTTGGGGGATCCTGGGCAGTTTAGATGGCCGCCCATGGGCCAGTACTGGACCATCTTGGAGCCATTATGGGTTGTTACTTGGCCGCATTGCTCCCTGGCTGGGAGGTCTCGTGAATTGCTGGGAAGCTGTCTGTCGTGGCCCGAAGGCCGCCTGAAGCCCGTCTGGAGACAATACTCGGCCCTCCCAGATGTCATGGCCCCCTCTTCCTGTTTCAACACGTCCCTGTGACCCCCCCTCGGCCGCGCACATGCCTCTGCTCATGACCTGCGAACCCCATCTTGAACGCCCCCCCCTTGGACGCCCCCAAGACGGCAAGCCAAGACGTTTTCATACGACGAAACGTGCGGTGCCCCAATGCGTTTGGCTTCCCAGGGCCTATTCGAGAGTTCCATTGAGGCTGCTGGGCGTGCGCTTCGGGATCTTCTCGCCGTTTTCGAGCTACTGGGGATGGCCGCCTCGGCGGCTCTTGTGGCAGTCTGTAAAGAGCTCCGTCTTTGAGCCCACCTTGGGCTGCCCGTTGCCTAGGCTGGGGCTGTCTTGGAGCTGTGGGCGGAGGCCTGGGGTATGATGCATGAGGGTCTCTTTCCCAGGGCGATGTACCAAGCTGCTTTGTTGTTCAATATTGCTTACGCAGCAAAACGACTGAAGGTTGGCATCCGCGTGGTGCACTCTCGCCAGGTATAATTGCCAGATGCATTGTTTGTCCACGAGTGGGTTGGCGGGTGGTTATCCCCAAGCCATGATCCGATGGGTTTGCCAACAGACTTGCTTTTAGGTTTGCCTCTGTGCTCGAGTGTCTCTGCCTTGCCTGCGCGCTTGTTTCTTGCCCGTTTGCGTGACTGGTTGCCTGCACGCGTGAATACTACCTCGATTCGTCGACTGTTTCTGTTCCCGCCACCCTGCGTGCATGCGTGCACCCAATGCCGAAGGATTACTCCATCCGCGTCCACTTGGGACCGCGCCTGCTCACTATGTGTTTTTGTTATGTACGCGTGCATGATCCAGGCACTCCCGCCGGGACGGCCGCTGTTACTCAGCGAGCCTCCAACGACCGCCGATTGGAGCCGTCTCTGCAGCGGATTAGCTTGCGGCTGCGGCATTGGATGATAAGGAACGTCTTCCTAGGGCCCAGACCCTGGCGCATTCCTCATTTTTGCTCAAGGCGAGGTGGGTGGCCCTCGTTGGGCCTCCCATCGGTCGCGAGACCCTGGGTTCCTTATCGAATGCATCCTTATCTAAAAAGCTCCACCGTATCTATTAGTTGTCTTTTTCTCTGTCCCGCCCCTCCCCCTGGCTATGTCCTCCCTGCTTCCCCCTCCGGTCCCGTATCCTGGCGTTGCCCTGCGGCATTCGCCTGAATACCTTTGGCGTCCGGACGTTGGCCAGGGGACTTTCGGCCACGCTCGCAGGACCGCCTGTGCAGTGCTGTGCGCTCGGCGTTTGACCGCCCGCTTTCCTGCTTCCCCTCTTCGTCGCCTCCGTCCTCCTCTTCCTCCTGCGGCTGCCGACGCGTGCAGTCCTGCGCGGGTGCCTATTCGTGGCTCACATGTCAAGCGCCTGGCGTGGTGGCCGTAAGGGTAGTCCACGGCTGCCGGCTGCCGCCGTAGCTCGCTCAGTGCTTTGGCCTGCCTGCTCTGTCCTCCTCAGCGAACGTCGAGACGTCTCGCCCACCCCGCGCCGACACCGACAACAAGGACTTTCTTTTCCTCCTCCCCCCCCTCTCCTCCTAACTTTTTACATGTCTCGTATTGCATGAATCCAGACACCTCAGATTCTAGAGGCCATGGCCTCACCCACCTGGTCTGCTCTAGGCCCGGACGCTGTCCGCAACGGTGGTCGCACCGCATCGCATCGCATCCTCCGCTTGGCCCAGTTTTTTGAACAGAGGGATTCCTGTGCGGTGCAACGGTTGGCAAAGCATGCGAGCGAACCTTCAGGCGATTTCATTTTCAGGACAAAAACACAGAGACATAAAAAACTTGGGGCCACGCTTGCTCGATGCGGTAGGTTCGTGCCTTGTCTTCGTGGCGGAGACACGGGCGCGGGCCGTCAAGTTTGAACGCAGCCAGTGGCACGGAATTGGCCGATATGGCACGATCCGCGCTATCGGAAAGCCGCGATCGCTCAAGGTTGAACGATCCATCCAGTGTCAACGCGCAGTTCGTCACGACACGAATTTGCCGCACCTTGCTCCGCACAAGGAGCAGAGCGCTGCGAGAACGAAAGCGGGGCCCATCACGCGCTCGCTGTCGCAGGGCCCGGTGGCGGATCGTCCGCAAAACGCCAACGGCGGTGGCCTTCGTTGAGGAGTGGCTGCGCCTGTCGGAGGATCCCGAGATCATCACCGACAACGGCAGGGGCGTCCGGCCGGACGACGCGCACGGCTTCCAGCGCCACATGGCCGACCAGAGCTCATTCTCCGTGCTGTTCAAGCGCTGGGGCTTCGAGGCGATATCGCTTGAGGAGGGGCACCAGGTGGTGCAGTTGGACCGGTGGCGAGAGTAGAGAGTCGGCGGCGGCGTGGGGCTTGGAGGGGGGAGAGGAGAACGGGAGCGGGAGGGGGGGAGGGTGGAACGGCGGGAGAGGCGGCAGGGAGAGGCTGATAGGAGGGAAGGGGGGAGGGTGGGGGAGGGGGGAGGGGGAGGAAGAGGTGGAGGGGAGGGCGCAGAGAAGAAGAAGAAGAAGAAGAAGAGGGGCGGGGGATGGGGGGACAAGCTGGGTGTGCTCGCGCCACCTCTGACGTCCTGCGCCCCTCCCGCCCGCCTGTTCCCACTGCGTCGGCTCGCTACCTTAGTCGGGCATATCCCTCTACAGGAGGAATATGCAAAAATGGTCAAAGAAGTAGTCTGGGGACTATTTTTTGTTTTTTTGTACCATTCTGGAGTATTTTTGCGTATCTTAAATGTTCGTCGAAAATCCCCCTCTAGGGGGACACGCCCGACTTAACGCTACCTCCGCCCCCTCTTTCAACCGCGTCCTCCTCCTGCTCCCTCTCTTGCATGGTGGCGCAGCTTGCCCTCACGGCACCCCCGTTTAGGCCTTTCCGCTAGCGCAGACTTCCCTTGCCTCGCCGCCGACGCAAAGAAGTTCCCGCTTCGTCGAGTCCGTCTTCGTTCGCCGAGCCGGGTGTCGAATCGGACTTTGGCTCCCTGGATGGCATGTGGCAGTGTTTGACCCGTCGTCCCCCAGGGTCCGCTCCGATCCGATCGATCCGATGCGATTTCGAGGTTCATGCGATCCGACACGGCCCGATGCTCGCATGGGCTCTGCTGTGCATCCTGGCGAGGCCGGTCTGATTCGGTTCTGACTCCGTGCCGATGCAGCCCGATCCGACGAACGTTCTGATCCGATCCAGTTGCTCGGTCCAGTGCGGCGCTGACCGATCCGAGTCCTCCGAGCACTGCGAGAGAGTGCCACACAGGACCAGGCAGCGCGCGGGCGGGTCGGGCGACGCCTCGGAGCGCAGTCGAACGCCGCCACGCGCGAGTAGAAGGCCACGCCAACTAGGGCGACGAGGAAGCTCTCGCCCCCGTTCCTCTCCGAATCGATGCCGAGAGGCTCCCTGCGCGGCGGCGGAGGTCAGGGGAGGGTGCAGCGTGCTCGTGAAGGTCAGGGGGTGCTAGTCAGCGACGGCGACACGAAGACGATGGCGACGACAAGGAGGGACGAGAAGGACCAGGAGCGCGAGGAGGAGGAGGACGGCGGCGAGGGGATTGGAGGGGACGAAGGAGGAGAAGAAATATGGAGGGAGGTGGAGCGCAGAAAACCAGCAGTTGCAACCACAGTCATGTCAAGACTGTTCGTTCTTTATGACCCACTTGCCCCTCAGCGTTCAGGTCCCAGGCCTCGATGCCCGCCCTCTTGGTCTTCGATCGTGCTCCCTGAAGGGTATAGGTTCTTTGCCTGCCACGTGCCGTTGGCGCGGCACCTGGAAGAGGAACACGAGAGAGGCAAGAGAAGGGGAGGGACGGAGGCAGGGAGCGGGAACCGAGAAGGGAGCGAGGGCAAGAAGGAGGGAAGATAAGCGAGGACGGAAAACATGTAGCAGAAGGGGGGGTGAGAGAACAGCCGAACAGCCCTCGGCCGCGGGGAAGGGCAGCAGGCGGGCACAGCTCGCCGGCCTATGAGGGCCCGTGCCGCGCGGCCCGGCCGGGCGCGCGCCCCGACCTGGGGGTGGCGTCAAGCGGAGTGGAAGGAAGGAAGGAAGGAAGGAATGAAGGAGCGGGAAGATTGGCGGGCGAACCCTACAGGGTGCCTCGGCGGGCGGACACAAAAGGGCGCGTCGGGCGGGCGGGGCACTGAAGCAGGCTGGCGGGCTTCTAGGCAAGCGGGCGAGCGGACCCTGACGGGCAGGCCTAGGCATCCCTCCCAAGGGTACCCTTGCATCCTTGCCTCCTCGGCCCATCCTTGGCCACTTTCGTTGGCCGCGCCCCGCTCGAAACGCTTCGAGATGGGCGCCCAGGGCCCTTGCATCCTGATCGCGCATCCTTACTGCACGGGTTGAGCGTACTGTGCGGGCTGGGGGGGGGATGAAGATGCCAGCGGGCTTTCTTGGTAGGCGCACGGGCTCACCTTCATGGGCGGGCGGGCCTTGGCGGGTGGATCGGGCGAGCGGGGCTGCGAAGCGAACTTCGCAAGTTGTCAAGAAGCCCCTGGCGAGAGCACGATTCCTGAGCAAATGTTGAGGAAGTCTCGCGCGAGAGCGCGATTCCTTGGCGTCGAGAGCGCTGCGCCTGAGCAATTTGTGTAGAAGTCCCAGTCGAGAGCGCGATTCCCGAGTAAATTGTGAGGAAGTCTCAGGCAGGAGCCATTGATGTCGCGGCCGGGGGGCCACCAACACGGTTTGAGGCTCAAGACTTCCTCTGGCAAAAACATTGTGCGAGCCCCCGGGGAGGGCTGGTTGATTGAAAAAACAATGCTGGCCGCTTGGGAGGGATCGACAAGAATTGCCGTTCCGAGGAAAGAGCTCAACAACAACAAAGAAGTCACAACACAAACGCTGTCCAGGGAAGGCCGCGGCGCCCGCCTCCACGGGGATGCACTTGCGCCCGTGGGCCCCACCACCGCAGAGGAGTGCTGGCGGGGCGTCTGCGCCCCCCCCGACGGCCCTCGCGGAAGGCGTCGTCGAGGGGTGCGGGACCGAGGCGAGTCATGGGCCAAAATTTGGTTCGACATGTTCGTTGGTTCCTGAAGGTTTTCCTGCCTCGGGGTGCGTTCCAGCAGCTGCGCCTCGCCGAGAGCGCTGTGGGTATACCCGAACGGTCCCGAACGGAGGTCGGAGACCCGAGCTATGACCCGAAACCCGAGTGACTCTTCGCTGGAGTGACCTTTGGTGCGCAGCTTTCGATGGGCGCGGGGGGCAAGCCTCCCCCTCCTCCTCCTCCTCCTCCTCCTCCTCCTCCTCCTCCTCCTTTCGATGAACGCGGGCCGCTACTTTCGCATCGCGTGCCACTTTCGCCGAACGGAGCACCAGGGTTCACACTCGAGCCTGGGGTCACTCCTGCATGTAGAGCCGAAGCCTGGCAATGCCGAGGAGACTCACCGCCCGGGAGGTCGCCGGCTCCTCCCGAGGATCGAGATGCGAGGATCGATGATCGAGAAGGTCCGTGGACGATGCTGTGCGTTTGGGGAGCCCGGGGGGCCCAGGGGGGGGTCCTCATCCTCGAGCCCTCGAGGAGGCGTCGACCCCCTTGGCGCTGCCCGGACGTGCACAGCCCTTCGGAGCGGCCGAGGGCGCTCGCGCAACGCGGGCGGAGCGGCTCTGGAGAGGCTCGGCACGGGGCAGCGCCAGCTCTTCGGCCAGAGCGGCCCTCGTCTTCGGTGGCCGGGCACGGGGACTTCGCATATCGCGCCCCGCGATGCGCAACGCACGAGTATCTTCACGCCTTCGCGACGTCCCCTCGGAGAAGGGCAGCCGCTCTGGCCGAGACCGCGACGCGCGAAGCGCGGTTCTCTGTGCGCTCCCGCAGGGGGGGCCTAGGAGTGTTCCCCCGGCGAAGGACACTTTTTCCCATCTAGGCCGTGTCGCGTGAGGAGCGATTCTCTTCCCGCCCCTGCGGGTGGCCGTGGCGCGAGCGCCTCTGAGGTATAGTCGACAGCGGCAGGGCCTCCCACGCTTACGTGCTGCGAGCCTGCCTGCCTGCTGCCTCTCACCTTCACGCGGCCGCGCTCGTCGCAGAGCTCTCCTCCCTGCATCCTCGTGAGAGGGGAGGCGTGGTGGGAACAAAGAGCAGGCGAAGGCGAGGGGAGGCACGCCCTGGGCGTGGAAAGAGCATCACGCGGGAGGGGCGCGAAGGCATTGAGGCTGGGACGTCGTCGGGGGAAGGAGGAGAGCAGCGTTCGTCGCAAGCAATCCCAGATGCGAGGGGAGGGGGTGCGAAGAGCGTGAAGAGACAGGGGAAGGAGAGGGGAGAGGGTGACGAGGGAGGGGACAGAAGAGGAGGAAGGGAGAGGTGGGAGACAAGCTGGGTGCGCTCGCGTCAGATCTGACGTCCTACCCCTCCTCCCATCCCCTACCATGGCGTAGATATTTGTTTTATTCGCACAGTCGGATGTCGAGCAGGGCAATGATCGCGAGAGGGTACGCGATGCATGGTAGAGCACGGCACGGCATGGCGTAGAAGAGCACGGCAGAGCGCAGCATGCACCGCACAGCATGTCATGGCATGGTGCCAGGTTCTTTGGAGGGTAAGTGGATCGTCTTCGGGAGGTCTGGGCCGGTCTGGAGTCGTGGCTCCATGTCTAGCTTCTTGGGCTCCCCGAAAGCTCCACACAAGGCGGGGCTGATGGAGAGCACCCACCGGCTCTGCTTCCAACATCGCCTTCGCAAAGCAGAAACGGAGCTCCCGCTTCATATTTCCTGAAAACGACGACGCCCCAAAGTGCGGGGGGGGCTTCTGCGGCCCGAAAATTCAACGAATCGATGCCCAATGTGTAGTCACTTCTGATGGTTTTTTCGGGAGGACATTTTCTAGATTTCAGGGCCTATTTGGAAGGAAGGCCAGCGCTGCAGCGGGAACACGATTCGGAACGAGCGGAGGCGCGGAAATGAAGCCAACGCAGTAGCGGGAGCACGATTCGGAACGAGCGGAAGCCCGAAAATAAGTCCAGCGCTTCAGCGGGAGCAACATGTTGAAAAAAAACATAGCGAAAACCTGGTTCCCGGGAATCCTGTGTGTAAAAAACAGCACGCGGAGGGGGTCCGGATACCTTCTGGACGACGTCATCAGGGGAGAGGGGAGAGTAATAGTCATATCGTTTAATTGTGGATGGGATCGAGAGGCGATGGGGAAAGGTACAGGGGGGAGGGGCCAGAGAGGGAAGGGGGAGGGGAGGGAGGGGACGGGGGTTCCATAGGCGCCCTGCGTGGGCGACGGTCTCCGTGGGCTCCCAGGGACGGGTAATTCGCTGGGCACCGCACCGGAGTCCGACGGCGACACGCGAAGTGCCGCGGAATCGTGTGAGGTATCCTGGGCCTCCCGGCGTCACGGAGAAGCTGCGACAGA